TTATATGTGGAATCTAAAAAACTGAATGAACGAGGAAAGTAAACAGAAGTGGTCTCAGATATAGAGGAACAACTGATGGCTGCTAGTTGGGAGGGGGTGGGGATAAGGGAGAAGGGGAAGGGATTAGACAGCATAAATACGTAACTACAATATTGCCACAGGGATATGAAAGACAGTTCAAGGAATATAATTAATAATGTGATAAATATTTTGTAGGGAGTCAGGTGGTCACATATCTTGCTAGGGAGACTGCATCATGGATAGAATAGAGGCTTGATCACTACACTGTACACCTGAAGCTGATGTTGTATAATATTGTATGTCAACTATAAGTGAATATATATATATATATATATATGTATATAGTCATGGGACATGGAGTATAGTGTGGGAATGGAGTCAAGGGAATTGTAATAGATATGTATGATGATATTGGGGGGAATTGAGGCGGCGGATTGGGGGAGGGGGTTGTCACCTCGAGGGGTAAAAAGTATAACTATTGCACTGTGTTGTACAGCTGAAACTAATTCTAAAAAGTGTGTATTTCACAATAAAAAATAATAATTAACAAAAAGGGGGAAGGGATGAAAAAGTACATATTGATAGTTACAGAGTAGTCATGGGGATGTATAGTATCGTATAAGGAATTTAGTCAATAATATTGTAATAACTATGCATGGTGTCAGATAGGAACTAGATTTATTGGGATGATCACCTTGTAAGTTATTTAAATGTCTAATAACTATGTTGTACACCTGATACTAATATAATATTGTATGTCAACTGTAATTAAAAATTATTTTAAAAATGGAAAACAAATAAATAAAAACATTGTAAGAGAAAAAAATACGAACATAAATATTCAAACAATCGTGTTTTTTTGCCTATCAGGTTGGTAAAAATAAAGAACTTTAATTCCCGGTGTGGGCAAGAGCGTGAGGGTGTCCATGAGAGCATACGCTGGCATAGCATTGCATGTTTCCAAAAATCTTCACGGCGCTTAACTTTTGATCTGGTAAAACCCTTTCTAGGGATTTTTCCTGGTGAAATAATTACCCAGATGCAAAGCACAGGTGACCTGGAAGCACGTCTCAGCACACTCCCCACACCGTGAAAGGGGCCCCAACCGGATCTCCCGGAGAGCAGCCACACTCCCTCAGCCTTCTGTCTCTCTCCTTCCTTCTCTAACCACAGGTGCCCCTGAAACAGGCTCTGTCCTCGTCAGCGAGGGAGGAGGTGGGGGGCGGGGGGAGCACTCTAAATCCATCTTCAGACAGTGTGGGGAACCCTGGGTCCTGCTCTGCTCTGTCCTGCAGATGAGGCCACGGAGGCTGGGCCCAGATGGGTGAGGGTGCTAGCTGCTATCCTGCTGTCTGGTGCCAGGCCCCAGCCTCCACCCGCCTCTGGGGGAAACACCCCAGTTGGGGTTGCGAGGCTGCCTGCTTCCTAGGACCGTGCTGGCCGTGCTGCCCTGGATTAGCCTCCCAGACCTCCTGTTTCAAATTTGTTTCTACCAGCTGGAAAGGACGGGAAGCCAAGATGTTTACCTGAAACTATGGAGAGTTCACTGACTTACACGTTTCAAATGAGACCCGAAAAATAAATGCCAAGATGCAATGCTGAAGCAAGGAATGGAGGAAGGCCACCTCCCAAGCGATGTTAACCCTTTGAGACCAACACGCCCCAACAGCCAGGAAGGCCCAGCCCAGGGTGCTGTGGCTAAGGGCCCTTAGTCCAAGGAGGTGATGGTCCAAGGCGCTCCTGGCCCATGTCCAGTGGAGCCTGCAGCCTAGTGAGAGATGCAGACACTCCAAACGGAGACCCAGCCAGCTCAGAGGGTGACAGAAGGGTGAGCCCCACTAAGGGGGCCCCCGGGGAGGAGCTGCTGGGGAGCCAGCCTACCTGAGAGCCAGCCAGGCGCTCTGGGCCCCTGAGCAGGGGGCACCAGCAGCCTCACTTTGGTCGTATTACTTTCATCAGAACAGGTGGAGCTGTCCTGGAAGCGGTTTGGTGGAGGAGGCGGGGCTCTGTGGATGGGGAGGGGCTTGAGGAGAGGGAGGGGCTCTGTGGATGGGGAGGGGCTTGAGGACTGCTGCTTTCACCGGAACTCACTCGCCAGCGTGTTTTGAAAGCTGGAGTGTGAACCCTTCTCCCGGGGCCTGAACCAGATGGGAACAGAGGCGGGTGGCATCTCTAGAAGCCATGTCTGCAAAAGCCAGAGGAAGTGGTGGCCCAACTGAAAATGCACACACCCCCACCCAGCCCTTCCACAGACCGCCCCTCTGAGAGCACCCTTTGGTCAGGGCTGAGGTGGGGGTCCTGGGGCAGCCTGCCTGTGTGGTCCGTTCAGATCTGGGGCCAGGTCCCTGACCATCAGGTGCCGACACTCTGGCTGGACAGATAGGGGGCCAGGGAGGGACCAGCACCAGGCCTGAGCCAGAGCATCTGGATGCCAGCTTGGCCTAAGAGAGGGGACTGTAGCTCCCAGGACACTGGACACCCAGCACCAAGGTGGGCCCCTCCTGTGCCCCACCGCCCACGCCCTGGCCAACGCTCTAGCTGCCTGGCCTTTCGCTCCTCACAGCTTGTTCTGTCCTTGGGACACATGGCTTCAGGCCTCCTCCCAGGGACTTCCTGGAGGGGGCCAGCCGGTTCCCAGCACCCCTCCTGCTCCCAGCCTCCTCAAGTCCACGCTCCCCATGTGTCCCAACCCCCCACAGAGATGAGCAAGGCTGGAGGGGCCAGGGCCTCACGCCTGCCCAGCCTCAGTGGGTCCTTGCATCCTCCTGAGTTAGTGGTGAGGTCACCAGTCAGCCCAGTCAGGGTGGCAGTGGACCGTCCCCTCTTGGCATCCCTACCCTGCCAGCCCAAGAGTATCTGTGACCCATTCTGGCCGGTGGCTGGGGCTCTGAGGGGTAGCACAGGCTCTCCCCTGGACCAGGGTCCTCACCTGGCCTCTCACGTTGGGTGTTAAATGGCGGGACAAGGGCCTGTAGGAGTGGCCCCTGCCTTCTCCCTCACCGCATCGCACACTGCCTTTCATGGCCACACGGTAGCCCACTCTTTCCTCACATGACCCTGTGTCCTGGCCCACCTCTGGGGCCCCATGGAGGCGGGTGATGGACCAGGTGGGACACGGGGGACAGCCCTGATTCAGCGGCAGGCTGCTCCCTGCCCCACCCCCCGTGGCCCCGGGCCTCACCATCCCCGAGGGTCCCACAAACCCCAGCTCCTCCCAGCCCCCACGCCTCAGGCCTCCGCTGCTCCTCCTGGAGGCCCCAGCCTGCGTTTCCCGGAGCCACTGCCCCCGCCCACGGCACGCTCGCCTGCGCTGCCTAGCCAGTTCTTTCAACACGATGTTACTTAAATAAAGCCGTTTCCCAGGTGAGAGGGGCACCCATTGCAGATGGAGGCTCCGTGGCACGGTGAGAAGGGGCCTCGCCACAGCCTGTCCTGGGCGCTCCGTGTCCTCTCTGTGCGGGATGTCCCTCCAGTCTTTAAAATACGTTTCTTAAGTTTTACTATGGAACTCCCCCACACACAGACGCAGCGACAGTGACCGCCTCACGTCCAGTAGGTGCGGTGTTCACCCTGTGGCCTCGTGGGCTGAGGAGCTGCCCCACTCCGGTCATCACACCTTGGGAACCCCCGGCCAGCAACGGTGCGTCCTGTCTGGGCTCACTGCCTTCAGCCATCTCGCCTCTGCTCAGCCTTCCCTCCCACGTGCTCACACCCAGAACCTCGACCTCATCTCTGTCCTTGAGTTCAGGGCAAACTTTCAGGGGGGCCTGCGGGGTTACAGGCCCCAACAACACATTCCCCAACAGCCCCTTGGCCCAGGTGGCCCCTGGAGGCGAGGGAACCAGGTGCTTTATAGCTCCCACTCCCACCCTACCAAACACCCCAAGAATGAGTGACTAGCACATGACACCCAGGAAGTTCCCCAGGGCGTGGGGACACGAGTGGAGGTCCCAGGGAAGGACCTGCCCTTGAGCTCCTGGAGTGGCAGCTCCGTGAGAGCCTGGCAGAAGAGAGTCCCAGGGTGGACACACTGGAACTGAAAGCCCCCCGCGCCCCAAACCCTCCCACGACCACCACACTGTGGGCACTGGTGCCCCCCGGTTCTCTCTTGGTGAAGGACCGCAAGTAAGACCCTGAAACAAGTCCCCACCTTATGGCAACAAATCACCTTTGCTGTCAGAACCTCTTCCCCCCGCCCCACCCTGCCCCATCTGCCACCCCCAGCACATAGAGACTCACTCAGGCCCATCCTGGCGGCCTCCCGAGCCCTCTTGGCAGCCAGCAGCCAGCAGCCAGCAGCCAGCAGCCAGCAGCCGGCTGGCAGCTTTCAGGAAGTAGCAGGGGTCCAAGTATGTTCTCTGTAAAACTCCCCAACCTCAAACAGAGTGAGTCCCAGAGATGGCCAACCAGGTGGAGTGCAGTCTCGCTGGTGGTGACGCTGTGGTTTCGTCATTTTCCTGGGGGCAGATGACAGGAAGTGGGCCCAGGCACACTTCTCCTTTGGTCTAACAACAGTGCCTTCTGTGTTCACTCAGGACTTCCCAGCTGGCTCCCAGAAGTTACCTAGCATCTCCGTCCCAGACAGATGTGACAGGACACATGGGGACAGGACCCTCGAGAGACAGCTCCTCTGGGCAGGGCCTGACATGGCGCCTCGAGAGCAGGGTGGGCACAGAGCAGGCCAGCCTCTAAGATGCCTTGTCCTCCCAGGAACACCCGTGGTGCTGGGAGCTGGGCCGGTACTGCTCACCGTGAGCCTAGGCCAGCTCCTGACCACCCAGCACCCAAGCACAGGCCCAGCCACTCCACAGGTGCCATCCCGCCTGCTTCCTGCCCTGGGGGGTCTCACAGGAGGGAAGGGGCCTAAACTTGCCATCCTTGCCCTGCCTCTGACCCCTCAGAGCTGACCCCAGCTGGGCCCAGTGGCCTCTGCCATTGGGTTGCTCCCTGAAGGGCCACATGGGGTCCTTGGGACACAGCATCGTTCACTGGGGCACTGCCCACCCTGGCAGGCATGGCTGCTCATCTCTTCCTGGCTTACAGGCTGCCAGGCTAACACATCTCACATCCAAACACATGGACCAGTTTCCTGGAAAACACTGGTGACTGCAGGCAACCCTCCTCTTCTCCCAACCACTCTCTGCCCACCGGGCTGGTCCTAGGTTTCGGGGTGACACGAAGGGCACTGTGTCCACTAGCGAGGCCCGAGTCGGGCCTGGCTGCTTCAGCCCCTGGAGACAGAGCTGTGCCACTGACACTTCTGGGGCATCTGTGCCCAGCAGCAGGGACAGCACATGGCGGTGCATCCCAGGCAGCCACACCCCGTGTCCAGGGCCGGGAGAGCCTGTGGAGCGTGCACCCTCCTTCTGGGCACAGCGGGCCTCTTGGTTCCGCCTTGACAGGGTTCTCTGGGTGCTGTGTGTGGCTGCAAGTGCCTAGAAAGCTGGGTCTGTAGCATGTGTAGGTCTGAGTCCAGGGCTCCCCTCAGCCTTCCGGAAATGCCTGCCAAAGTGGCTGTGGTGTGTCCACGGGCACTGCCCACGGGTGTCACCTGCCTCTCAGGGGCTCAGCCTAGGACGGCCTTCCCAAACATGCAGCAGTGGGCGGAGCTGAGACTCTGGGCGTCCAAGAACCACTGGCCCTTGGCAGTGGCCTCCAGGTGCCCAGGACCCATGAGAGGGCTGCTAACACTGTATGCTGGTAGCCCCAGCACTCCCCTGGGACCTGTTTCCTTCTGTACCCCCACTTAGGGGTCCCCTGCACCCCAGTCGATGGGCCCAGGTGGAAATGGGGAAAGGACCATGTCCCCTGAGACTGAGTTCATGCAACAAACCAGCCCGCCCGCACCCCAGGTAATTCAACGACAAGGAAGACGATTGAAATCCTTGATCTTCAGCTCCTAAACAAAACCACACCGCGGGTCTGTACCACTGGTGCAAAAAGCCCGGCGTTGGAAGAAAACCTTACAAACAAAAGCACTCGAGGGGTCTTGCCAATGCCGTCCTACCCCCAATGGCAGGGCTCTGAGGAACCACAGGGCTTGGTCCCAAATCTCCCCCTTAACTGACCTGGAGAAACCATGCGTGGAGGACTGACCCTGTGTGTGTCCTGACTGACAGTGGGGCTGCCTCTGGCTGCTGAACCCCACGCCAGGGGTCTCCAGCGGGGCCACGCAGGGGTCTCCAGCGAGCCTCTGCAGGCTCCTGTCTCTGCACCTGTCCCATTTGTTTGGGCCCTTTGAGAGGCACCCACCCTTTTCTCCTTAGTTCCTCTGCCCCATTCACTTATTGGGCTGAGATTTCTTAGCAAAATATCGTGTTGGAGTTTCTTTCTCCCAAAAGGGGAAATAATTCTAGAAATTGAGAGCGACGACCCAAACGGCCAGCTGGGCAGATGGGATGAGCCTTCAACGTCTCTGACGGCACTGGAGCTGATGCTAAGGACATCGGTTATCTGGGAGTGGCCATGGCAGAGCGGTGTGGGGAGAGAATCACGCACCCTGGTGCCGCTCTCCAGGCCATCTTCTCCCGCCTCTGGGGTTGTCCCTGGGCTCCTCAGGGAGGCAGCCTCAGCAGGCAGACCCCCAGGCCAGCGGACAGTCCCTGGGGTATTCAGTGGGGCAGCCGGGCCAGCCAGGACTCAGGAGGGAGCCAGGCAGAGCCAGCCTGTCTCTGGGACAGGATGGGGCCACACAGCCACAGGAGGAGGCTTGGTTGACAGCTGTCTTATTAGGCGCCTGCTGTGTACCACAGCCCAAAGCAGGGGTGAGGCACCCCCAGGGAAGGCACCCTGGCCTCCCTCAGCCCCACTGTTCTCCCAGGCCATTGCACCCAGACCCTGGCTCCAGCCCTGCAGCCCCCCAGCATCTCCCAGGACTGTGGCCCTTGGGTCCTGCCCCCATACTCAGTGGACTTTAGAAACTGTTTGTTTTGCCCTGAAGGTCCCTTGACACAAGAAGGGCCGCGAAGACTAGGGCCACCCAGACCTCCCCAAGAGGAACAGCACAGCGCCGGTGTGCCTAGCCCCTCTCCTGCCCCTCACCTGGGCACCTTGGGAGGCTCTGCCTGGGCACCCAGCCCAGAGGTCAGAGAAACGGAGGTGAGTGGAGCCCTCCAGGGCAAGGTGGAGTAGCTGTCTGAGCCTCTGCCCTCCCTCCAGCTCTCAGTGTCAGAGGTCACCAGCAGACGGGGAACGAAATGGGCTCCTCTCCATGGGACTCCTGCCTCCAGAGAACCCTGGCCTCACCCTCACCCCCTTGCAGCCGTGGTCCAGGCTAGGACCAACCCCAGCGCCCCCAACCACCGTGATTTTGCCCTCAGGGGACATTTAGCCTTTCTGGGAACATTTTTGGGTTTCACTGAGGGAGGTAAATAACATTTCATAACGCACAGGACAGCCCCTCCCTCACGACAAAGATCCAGCCCCAAATGTCTACTGTGCTGGGTGCCTGTGGGTGGGGGCCTGGGGCAGGCCCCCTATTAGGAGTTACTCTGCCCCCCACCAAACGGCTCCTGTTAGAGCCAGGAGGCCAAACAGAGGAAGGGGCCCGGCCCTGCGAGAGGGCTGCCACTGACCCCCACCCTGCCCTGGGGGAGCTCCTAAGCTGCGACTCCACGCCAGCAGTCAAGGCCAGGGCAGCCTGACCATGGGCCCAGCCCTGGGGCGCCCAGCCGGTCAGGGACCCTGTGCTCCCCCCCACCTGTAGCCCTGCTGCTACAGAAAAACCAGCAGTGACTTGGGAGGGGAACGGCCAGGGGTGGGGCCGTGGTGGGTGCTGCCACGAGGCAGCGCCCCACGTGGAAACGCTGGGCTGCCGTCTAGCTCTCCACTCACAGGGGAAACAATCCGGTTTCCTCTGTAGGCAGTCAGACTGCAGCCACCTCAACCACCAGCAGTCTGGGAAACACCAGGTGGGTGAGGCATCTGGGCTGGGGGACTAGGGTGGACGCACCGGCTCGGTCTGGCCATTGGCTCAACTCCACAAGCATTTGCTGAGCGCCTGCTGTGTGCACCACCGGGAACAGGTCCTGGGGGGGTGAGGCCTCTCGCCCCCAGGGGCCCACAGCCCAAGGAGGCACCAGAGACAGGCCACTGTCGCCACCCTGGGAGTGGGGCCACAAACATGGAGTTCGGCCAGAAGCCTTGCAGGGGGGCCTGGGGCTTGAGCTGAGCCAGCCGAGGCCAGGAAGGGCTTCCTCCAGCACAGAGGGACTCCTCCCAGGAGCACACGGGGAGTGGAGGGGCCAGGACTTCACAGCTTGTCTCCCAGAGCTGGCAAATATCACATGCTACTCTGCCAAGTGTCAGGGTGAGGGCAGAGGCCAGGGATGTGGGGCGGCTGGGGCAGTGTCCAGGGCCAGGACAAGGTGGAGGGTGTCAGGGGCTTGGGCCCAAAGGATATGGGTGGGGAAGGAGGCAGCAGGGGGGGCTGGGCATTGTCAAGTGCAAGGCCATGTCTGGGGGCCATGGAGGGGCATGGAGAGGTGCCCAGAGGACACTCTGGGGGGTCCCAGGGACTGAGAGGCGAAGCAAGGCTGGCACTGCCCAGTCCCCTGCCCATGGTAAGATGAGGCAGACCAGAGGGCGAGTGGGGTGCAGCAGGGGACGCTCTTCCCATCTCACAGAAAAGTAGGTCACAACAGAGGAGCTTCCCCACTTCCTGCCCCTCCCCTGAAGGCCCCCCACCATCTCCCTGCCACCTGCCCGGCTGAGGCTTCCTTCCTGGGTGGAAGGTGACCACACAGCCACCTGCATGGACTCCGTGACCATTCCGCCTCCTCCCCCCACTCCCACCAGCACCCCGGTGGTGTCCTCACTGGCCCATCACTCATCTTTACTGGGCACTCGCATGCACACACACAGACATGTACACACACAGACATGTGCACACACAGAGACACACACACACAATCGCACACGGACACTGCCGGCACAGGCTCCGGCTCCGGGCAAACCAGGAGGCGTGAGCAGCGCTCTGGGCTCCAGGCCCACCTGCCTATGTGACTGGACAGGCTCCCTGGGGGTAAGAAGGGATCAGGACCCAGGTGCTGAGACCCCATCTGCAAAGCACTCAGCAGTGCTGGGAGGACGTGTGGGGGGGTGATGGGCAGGGCAGGGGCTGTGCTCAGCTAGGACATCAGTGTCCAGCCTCATCCTGGCCTCCTTCCCCAACGTGGCTGCCTCTCTGGGGCCTGTGCCAGCCTCTCTGTCCTCTCTCCCGGTTCTCTGCTGGTCCGGCTGGGGGAGATGGGGAGGCGTCCATCTCTGCACCATGAGACTTAATTTGCTCAGCTACTTGGAGTCCCTGGAACCGCCATATGAACTGTAGGATGAATTTCTTTCTGCAAAAGCATGACTGAGGTTTTGATGAGGAG